TCCCCAGCCCAATCAACATCGGAAAAAGCACGAAGCTATAGAGAGGAGTGGACGGAATAATGAAGACCATGAAACAAGGTGCCTTTGAGATAGCGAAAGATATGAACTAATGCAACATAATGAGGGATACGAGGAGCCGACATAAACTGGCTGACAATATGAACGATATAGACAATATCAAGACGAGTAACAGTAGATAGACAAGATTACCAACCAGTTGACGATATAGGGTAGCATCAGAGAGAAGACTGCCGTCAAAAGGTGTAAGACGACTCTGAGGCTCCATGGAAGTGGAGGAAGTTTTGCAATCCGTAAGACCAGCACGGGTGAGAAGATCAGAGGTATACTTAGCCTGAGAGAGAAAAGAGCCCATGGAATCATGGAAGATTTCAAGACCCAATAAATAACTGAGAGGACCAAGGTCTTTCATCTCGAAATGATGACTAAGAAATTGTTTAAGGCGAAGAATATCATCGATGTCATCACCGGTGATAATCATGTCATCCACATAAAGCAGAAGTAGGGTGGTCCCTTGAGCTATTTTCCGTATAAAAAGAGCAGTATCATAAGAACTGGAGGTGAAACCACATTCATGAATAGTAGAGCTAAACTTGGCAAACCAAGCGCACAAGGCTTGTTTGAGACCATATAAAGCACGCTAAAGTTTGCAGAATTTATGGGGTGGATAAGTAGACCTAGGGGGAGGTTACATGTAGACCTCCTCAAGAAGAACACCATTAAGGAAAGCATTTTTCCCGTCCAGTTGATAAAGATCCCATTGTCGGGTGGTAGCAACAGCAATCAAGCTGCGAACAGAGGTGAGACGGGCAATAGGAGCAAATGTCTCCTCATAGTCAATACCATATTCCTGGTTGAAGCCTTTGGCAACAAGGCGGGCTTTGTAGCGCTCAATAGATCCATCAGAACAAGTCTTGATTTTGTATACCCATTTGCAGCCAATGGCAATCTTGCTAGGGGGAAGATCAACAATGTCCCAAGTATGAGTTTTGTCTAAAGCCTGCAATTCATCAGTTATAGCATGCTGCCAAAGAGGATTAGAGCGAGCCTCACGATAGGAGGTAGGTTCATAAGTAGAAAAAGCAGTAGAACCAACAATAAAGTCACGAAGACGAGGAGAAGGTTGGGTTACTCGGTGTGGTCGAGCAGAGAGAGAAGGAGCCAGAGGAAGAGACTCAACAGGGGTGAGGATCTCGAGGGAGTAAGAGCAGGACCATCAGAGCGAGCAGTCGCATGGGAAAGACTAGTAGGCAAGGTGGTCTCGAGAGAGGCTAGCAGGGGCAGTGAAGTAAGCTCATCAGAAAACAGATCTATGGAAGGGTTAGTAAAAAACAGAGAGGGTAAGGGAGCGGATAAGCAGAAGAGAGAAAGAGAGAGAAAAACATTTTGTGTTCCTAAAAGACCACATGACGAGAGATACGGAGGCGCTGGGAGAGAGGATCCCAACAACGATACCCCTTATGTTCAATACCATACCCCAAGAAGCAACAAAGGCGGGAACGAGGTTCAAGTTTAGTACGTTCATGAGGTTGGAAAAGAACAAAACAGGCAGATCCAAAGACCCTAAGGTTGGTGTAAAGGGGACGGGTGCCATGCAAACGCTCATAGGGAGTGTGATTATGAATGACAGGTGTAGGGATGCAATTGATAGTGTAGGTAGCAGTGAGAACTGCTTCTCCGCAAAAATTTTCCGGACATGAGGAAGAGAGAAGGAGAACTCGAGTAGTATTGAGAATATGCCGATGTTTCTGTTTAGCACGTCCATTTTGTTGAGACGTACCTGGACAAGAACGATGAGGTTGAGTACCATGACTCTAAAGGAAGGAAAGAAAGTCAAAATCTTTATATCCCATGGCATTTTCGGAGCGAAAAAGCTTAATGTATTTAGAAAATTGGGTTTTAACTGTTGCAACAAAATTGTAATAAAGTTGTTTGAGCTCAAAGCGATTTTTCATAAGAAACAACCAAGTAAAACGGGAAAAATCATCTATAAAAATAACAAAATAGCGTGCGTCTCCCATAGTAGGAGTAGGAGAGAGGCCCCAAATATCAGAATGGATGAGATCAAATGGTGCAAGAGAAACAGAGTCATTTTTATTAAACGATAAAGCAGGTTGTTTGGCAAGTTGACATGAGAAACAGTCTAAAGTATCAAAACTTATAGGACCTAAATGACCACTAGAAATTAAAGACTTTAACCGACCAACAGAAAGATGGTCTAAATGATAGTGCCAAAGTTGAAAAGGAGATAAAAGAGGAGTAGTGGTAGGAACTGCGATCTGAGAAGAATCTGGAACATGAAGATGGATGAGTTCATAGAGACGTCCATGCTTACGGCCTATCCCAAGAGTCCGCCTCGTCTCAAGGTCCTGCACCAAACGACTAGTATGAGAAAAGGTAACAGTTAGACCATGCTCACATAATTGACTAATGGAGATAAGATTTAAATTAAGAGCAAGCATAAAATATACATGGGATAAAGATAAGTGAGAGGTGGAAACAGAACCAACATGACTTATAGACAGAAGAGACCCATCAGCAGTATGGATAGAAGGAACATGAGGATTAGAAAAGAGAGTAGTAAAAATAGTAGGGTCAAAGGTCATGTGATTACAACAAGCAGAGTCAAAGTACCAGGAAGTGTTACCAAAGGTGACAGACAAAGCAGTAGATGGAGGAGTACCGAAAGTGGAGAGAAATTATTAGAACATGGCTTCGACATCTGCTTGAGAGAAGACTGGAGTGGAAGGGTCTATTAGGACAGAGGAAGGTAAATCCTCTGAGGCAGCAACAGCAGTGCGATGAACGGGCATCGGTTTAAACTGAGTCCCAGAATGGTGAGAGTTGCCGGGTGAAAAATTCCCGGTGGAAGGACCATTGCGAGAGGCACGGGCTGGATTGCGGAAGCAATCTTGCTGGAGATGACCAAGGCTAGTCTTGTTGCAAAATCGACAAAGGCGAACTGGACAATTAACCAGAAGATGAGTCGACGGAAGACTGCAGTCTTGACAGTAGTTGCAGGCAGTTGACCTCTGTGGTGAAGGTGGTGAAGGAGAACTCCGAATCTGGGGAGTAGCAAGAACAGAGTCCACAGGGTGCGGATAGAAAGTACCAAACCTGGTTTCCTCTTAAAGTAGTTCAGAAATTGCTTGCTCAATAGTGGGTAAAGGAGTGCGATGAAGGAGAGATGCGCGTACTGGCTCAAAATGGGGAGTGAGAGCCATTAGAAACTAAACCAAGCGCTGTTGGTCACGGTAAGTAGTAAACAAGGCAGCATCCTCCGTATGGGGCCGTGGAGGTTCAGAAAGAGCGAGCTGATCCCAAACAAAATACATTTGGGCGAGGAAATCATTAATAGTCTGAGTTGTATCTTGGCGCATACAGTGAAGATGGCTCAGAAGTTGATATTGGCAAGCAAGACTAGTAGTCTGATAGCGTTCTTTTAAAAAATCCCAGATGGCTTTTGCCGGAGTGGAAACAGAGTCAAGTTGGAACCGACCAAACTGAAGGCTGATAGATGTAATAGAAGTACTGCGAAGCTAAGTGATGATCTGATAGTTTTTACTATCCCAATCTTCTAGTTGGTTGACATATTTGGCAGGGGATTCCGCTGTGGATGGGTTTGCACATATCCCCAGTGATGATGTACCAAAGTTTCTTCCCTTTAAGGAAGCCAGACATGGCTTGTGCCCATAAGACATAATTAGTCTCGTCAAGAACAACGAAAATAGGGTGGTTAGAAGAGCCCGGGCGATCCATGAAGGAAAAACAACACGATCGAGGTAGAAGCTGAAAAAATCGAGGGTACCAGTGAATTTAGAAAGCCAAAATTAGTGGGGAACCGGTCTGAACCGGCCAGAAAAGTCCAAAAATAGGGCTGAATTGGCCTGGGGAAGTTGTTGAGTCGATTTGAGCTGAACTGGTTAGACCCGAAGGTGAAGGCGCTGCACGAGTGGCTAGAGCGGCGCGAGCCGAAGGAGAAGACAGCTGCAACAAGCGGCTTGCACGAGTGGCTAGAGCGGCGTGAGCGAGTGACGCGTGCTGGGAGAGATGGCTCAAGCGGCTGTGGAGGCGTGTAGCGCGTGAGACGACGATGACGAGACGGCTCGACCGACTGAGGAGTGTGTGTGGCGCGTGATATGTCGAAGATGGAAGTGGGTGACGTGCCGATGACAAACATGTCGCATGAGGGCGCGTTAAAGCAGATTTGAGAATGCCGTTGGTGGCGTTGGAGTCGTGAGAAGATTTTGAGCACGTTGGTAGGCAGTGCGAAAATTTTTGAGAACAAAAAAGATCTGATCAGTGATAAAACAGAGATAACTACCAGAAAATGTGAATTTTTTTGGTTAGTGAGCTATGTATTTGAGGCTCTAATGCCATGTAAAATAAGTTAAGAGAGGGATATTTAGAGAGTAATCTCTATATTTCAATATATCTGAAACCATATAGAGAGTCCCCATTATATAGGAGTTTCTGTGTTACAAACATCATCATGTCACAAAACATAATTATGAAAAGGGACCGAAAGTAGATTGACAGACCGAAAGCAAACTAAATCCTATCTTTGTTGTATCCTATATACATTAATATATTATACATTAGCTGTATTGTATTCTATATACATTAATATATTAACACCAACCAAAGATGCCCTACTATTAACACTAAACATAGAAACCTATGCATTTGTTGGGGGGCACCATTCTTACCTTTCAGTCGTCCAATATGTGAATCAATTACATAAATAAAAGTATAAAAAAATTAAATTAAATTTTAAAAAATAAGGAAGGAAAAAGAAACAGGTACCTCAAGTATAACAAAATATGAACCAACTAATGATGCCCAAGCTAACTTATGTTCCATTAAATAAAATATAAAAATATAAAAATTGGGGCTAATAACTCAATATGCAGGTACCTGTAGGAAGTGCGAGAAGAGAGAGTGGTGGGTTGGCGGTATTTGGTTTTTAACACTGAAGAACACAGAGAATCACTCAAGCACATATCGGTTCAGTAGCTTTCTTTAGCCATGCCATGTCGGATTCATTCGTATATGAGGCCGAAACATCCCTACATTTGGAATGGTAGGTGTTCAACCAATCTACTTCTTCTGGCATTAAAAGGCTCAAGTCAATCAGCTTTTGCTGGTACGGTGCCTGGATATAAGACAAAGCATATCACATATCAGAAGAATGATTAGCAATCTTGCAATATCACAGTTATGTCAACAGCAATACAAACAATAAAGAAAATTGGACACAAAAATAAAATAAAATAAAATTTCTATACATATTACAGAACGAGGTCATTCTTTACAGTTGTGGTGAAAGCAGAATTCAAAAAAATGTGCCACCTTCACAAAGAAAGATTAAATGAGCCTTATTTTTTTTGTATTTGTTTTAATTTGATTCTTTTGGCCAAGTCAATTCACCCACGATTCTTCACTAGTCCCAAATTTAAGTTTCTCACGTCATTATAGGGTAAAAACAGAATGCTAAAGATAAGAAACTTACCCATGTTATGTGCTCAAATGATAAGTAACACTTGTCCCCAAAATTAAACTTCGTACCAGCGTCATTGACTATCAGCACGTTCTCCAATCGAATACCGAAGTTCCCATCCTCGCAATAGCCAGGCTCTGATAATTTAATTCCAATAAAAAAATTTGAAAGCAAAAAGGAAAATGGAGAACCAGCACATTGAATATGAACTATGATGGAGATATTTTAACACAGTGATCTATGATTGTCTTCAATAATTTAATAAATAAATAAAAGAAAACCAAAGAAAAGAAAAAAGGTATTCAAATGTTGGATTCAAAGTAATTCTTTGGTAACTCAAAATCGGTCCTCATTCGTCGAGCCATTAATTACTCACTTGCATGAACTTTTGTCAGAATTACTTTGAAAAAAAAAATAAAATAACTTTAATAAGGTAGAGAGTAAAAACCTCAAAGAAGAATGCTCGCATAGGCATGCAACAACTATTAAGATACACGAATGTGATAAGATAACCGATGCAGTGCGCAATGAAGTGTAGAAATTCCATCTAGAGCCATAATCCAAAGTGAACATGAGACTCACCATCTGTTACAGTCATTGAAGTTTGTATTGAGACATTCCTGACATGTGGTCTGAAACTAATTAAATGAGGTCCTGTCCAATATATAAAGACAACAATATATGTCAACCTAGTCTTCATAAAAGTTGACTTAAGACAACAGGGGACAAACTTTTTTTGTCGTCGCTTACCCTCATGAACATTTAAGTAAGAGCCAATTCCATGATCAGTACCATGTCGATAATCGAATCCGGATCCTCCGTCGTCCTTATCTGTGGCCCTTTCCTGTAGCGCCCCAAAACGACGTCGTTTTTGGAACAACTTTTCATGAAAAAAAAAAAAAACAAACTCAGAAACAGAGAGAAAGAGGGAAGAAGATGGCTATCTGTCTACCATGACTTACCAAGAACAGAGCTCTGTCGAATGGCTATGGTCATCCAAAGAATAATTTCCCAAGAACACATAGAATAATTTGGACAATCCAAAATGGCAATGGTCATCAACAACAGACCCATTTATATCAATTCTTTGTGTTCTTTGTAGATCCCATTTATATCAAATCTTGGGTTTATAAAATTATTCCAGAGACCCAAAGACCCAAACACTAGAAGCAGAGCATAGCCCAGAGACCCAAACACTCATCATCCAAAATGGCCATTTTTCCCAAGAACACAAAGAATAATTTTATAATCATCATCAACAACAAACCCAGAAAAAAAGAGAAAAAAAAAAAACAGAGAAAGAGAAAGAAGCAAAAACACAAATAATACAAAAAAATAAACCCAAGAATTGATATAAATGGGATCTACAAAGAACACAAAGAATAATTTTATAATCATCATCAACAACAGACCCAGAAAAAAAGGAAAAAAAAAAGAGAGAGAGAAAGAGAAAGAAACAAAAACACAAATAGTTGGATCTGGATCTCTTCCCATAACATGGGTTTGTTGGTGTAGATTCAATTCTAATCAACATGGGTCTGCAGCACAAAGAGTTGTCGTTTTGGTATCTCCATTAATCAACACACAGGATCAAAAAACCACACCACAACCCCCCCTAATTTCAACTTCTTTAATTTCAAGTTGAAGAACTGAGCATCTAGAAAGAATTCCTAGAGAGGGAAACTATACCCATGAGAGAGAGAGAGAGAGAAAATGCTTCTTGTGGTTTGATTGGTGTTTGGGTCTCTGGGCTATGCTCTGCTTCTAGTTTGTGTCGTTAGATAACCATCTTCTCCCCTCTTTCTCTCTGTTTCTGAGTTTGTTTGTTTGTTTGTTTTTTTTTTCCATGAAAGTTGTCCCAAAACGACGTCGTTTTGGGGTGCTATAGGAAAGGGCTGCAGATAAGGGCGATGGAGGATCCAGATTCGTCGATAATCAGGTCCATCCTTTCATAAAGAAATTCGAGCAAGAATGTCAAGAGCATGCCCTATACAGAGCAAAATTTCAATTATCATATGTTTACAAAACTACATTCATAAGGATAAAAAATAGCAATAGGTAAAACGTGTATTTAGTGATCCACTCTCAATCGAATGGTCCTTGTCTTCTCTGAAACAAAAACTGTTAGGACTATGGGACACCAGAAATCAATTCCACACAATAACATAAGAATATTTACGTGGTTCAGCAATTGCCTATGTCCACAGAGAGATATCCACTATAGAATTATTCGGGAGGGAGATTACAGAACTCACACCTTACAACTCTCTATAGAACTCTCGCTCACAGATTATACTCTCCTCCGTGTATTCTCAGCTTAGTGTGTCACTCTCATATGTCTCTATACAACCCCTTTTCACTCATGTCAATTTATAACCAAGTGAAGAGGAGTAGGTGAAGTGACAACCATGAGTTGGCTTGGTTGTGCCACCCTCACCATCTACCTTTGGTGAGTTGGTACTCCCCCACCAGCTTCCTTTACCACATGGTGCCACCCATACCATGTGGATGGTGGGCTCTTTACCATGTGGGTAGTAGATGGAGCCAACAATTCTCCCCCTCCACGTCCACATGGACAACTGACTTCTCACTTGAAGTCCATCCCGGTCAGATGCTTAAAAATTTCCAGTTTGTCTCTGGTGACACCCTTGGTCATCATGTCAGAAGGATTCTTGTCTGTGTGAATCTTCACTAGCTTCATCAGCTGCTTTTCCATCACTTCTCGTATCCAATGATACCAGACATCAACGTGTTTTGTACGTGAATGGTACATGAAATTCTTGCTCAAATCAATTGCACTTTAACTATCACAATGTACCTTGTATTCTTCTTGTTGTAGACCCAATTCTTCGAGAAACCGCTTTAACCACAATATTTCCTTTCCAGCATCTGCGGCAGCAATGTACTCTGCCTCTGTTGTAGATAAAGCAACACACTTATGTAGTTTGGACTGCCATGAAATAGCTCCCCATGCAAAGGTGAACAGAAATCCTGATGTAGACTTTCTACCATCAAGATCACCAGCCATATCGGGATCTGTAAAACCCTCCAAAATTGGTTCAGCTCCCCCGAAACATAAAACACATATTTGAAGTTCCCTTCAAGTGCCGAAGAATCCATTTGACGACCTCCCAATGCTTCTTTCCTGGATTGGTGAGGAATTTGCTCACAATACCAACTGCGTGAGCTATAGCTGGCTGGGTACACACCATTGCATACATCAAACTTCCTACTGCGGAAGAATAAGGGATTGCCTTCATTTCTTTCCTTTCAAAGCTGGTCGTGGGACACGAACGCTTTGTCATATTGAAATAGTTGGCCAGTGGTGTGCTGACTGGCTTGGCATCTTTCATGTTGAACCTTTCAATTACCCGTTCAACATATTTCTCCTGTGACAGCCATATCTTCTTGGCTTTCCTGTCACGAACAATCTTCATGTCCAAAATTTGTTGTGCTGGGCCTAAATTCTTTATGTCAAAGTACTGCGACAAGTCCTTTTTCAACTTGTTGATCATAGTAGTATCATGTCCAATGATCAGCATATCATCGACATACAGCAGTAGGATAATGAAGTTTCCATCCGAAAATCTTCGGAAATATACACACTAGTCTGCCACCGTTCTTGTGTACTCGTGATCTACCATAAATGAATCAAACTTCTTGTAAGGCGTTTTAAGCCGTAGAGATTCTTCTTCAGTTTGCAGACTAGTTTCTGTTTTCCTTTAACTTCAAATCCTTTTGGTTACTCCATGTAGATCTCTTCCTCCAACTCACCATGGAGAAAGGCAGTCTTGACATCCATTTGTTCTACTTCCAGATTCAAGCGAGCTGCTAATCCCAGAGCTACTCGAATGGAAGTCATTTTCACAATTGGGGAGAAAATCTCATCAAAATCAATTCCCTTCTTCTGTCCAAAGCCTTTGACCACCAAACGAGCTTTATGCTGCAATAGTTTACCGTTTCCATCTTTCTTCAACTTATACACCCATTTGTTCTTTAAGGCTCTTCTGTCTCTTGGAAGTGGAACAAGCCCATAAGTGTGGTTCTTCTGCAAAGAACACATCTCCTTCTTCATGGCTTGCATCCAACAGTGTTTCTCTGTATGATTCTTAGCTTTTGAAAAACTCTCGGGCTCCCCCTCATCAGTAATCAGAACATACTGAGAAGCGGGATATTTGGTTGATGGCACAGCAGCTCTTCTAGATCTCCGCAACTGAGGCCCAGTTGCTTCTGTTTGAGGGGGTTGCTCCCCCTGCTCAATACCCTCTTCATCCGGGTCTTCATCTCTTTCCTCATAATCTTCAATTTCTGGCATAGGATCCTGCAACTCTGGCACTTCTTGTTGCACATCATCACATCTAGCATTTTGTGATGGCTCGGGAGATGGAAACAAGTCTGGAGTGATGACATCTCTAGACTTTGCAGATTTCTCAAAATCTGCTACTGTCTGGTCTTCTTGGAACACAACATCTCTGCTTCTGAACATCTTCTTGTTCACTGGGTCCCATACCTTGTACCCAAATGCTGCATCTGAGTAGCCCACAAATATGCATGGAGTGGATTTGTCATCAAGCTTCTGTCTGTTTTCCTTGGAGATGTGTGCAAAGGCCTTACACCTGAAGACTCTCAAGTGAAAATATGATACCTTTCTTCTGGACCAGACTTCCTCAGGTATCGCAAAATTCAACGGGACTGAAGGCGACTTATTGATGAGATAACAGGCTGTACGGGCGGCTTCAGCCCAGAATGACTTTGGCAACTTTTCTATTTTGAGCATACATCTGACTCTTTCCATAATAGTGCGGTTCATCCTTTCTGCCACAACATTTTGTTGTGGGGTGCTGGGAACTGTTGTCTCGTGCTGGATACCTCTGCTAGCACAGTATGCTGCAAAAGCATTGGAAGTGTACTCGCCTCCATTGTCTGTGTGAAGACACTTCAATTTCTTTCTAGTCTCTCTTTCTACCATTGCATGGAACTCCTGAAAGTGCTGAAATACCTCATCCTTTGTCTTCAAGAAATATACCCACAACTTCCTTGATGCATCAACAATGAAAGTTAGAAAATACTTACGGCCGCCATGTGACTCCACTTCGATTGGGCCACAAACATCCGAGTATACCATATTAAGCACTTCTGTTTTCCTCTTGCTCGTTGAACTAAAGGATACTCGTTGTTGCTTACCATAAAGGCAATGATCACAGGGCTTCAAGACACTCCCTTTGGATAAGGGTATCCTGGATTGCTTTGCCAATAGATGCAATTCCTTCTCACTCATGTGAGCCAGTCTTCTGTGCCATAAGTCCGGTGACTCCTTGTCTTCTACTACATTAAGACTTTCCAGACAGATCTTCGTTTGAGTCTTATACAGTGTTGAAGACATCTCTCCTCTGGCGATTGTCAAAGCTCCTCCTGTCAGCTTCTAACGGTCATTTCCGAATGTACTTGTATAGCCCTGTCGGTCCAGGGCACTTCCGGAGATAAGATTGAGACGCAAATATGGAAAATGCTTCACATCTTTGAGAACCAGCTTGTTCCCGACATTAGTTTGAATACTAATGTCTCCAATACCCACAATCTTTGAATAACTAGAATTTTCCATTCGAACGGTGCCAAAATCTCCAGCGTTGTACGAGCTGAAGAGTTCTTAATGGGAAGTGGTGTGATAGGATGCAGCTGTGTCTATCACCCATTCTGTGTAGCTGTAGTCAGCTACGTGAAGGCAATCTTCCTCTTCACTAATTGCAAGAAGTATTTCATCAGTTGTTGTAGCTGTTGTATTCTCATCTCCTTTTGACTTACTACTTTGGCCTTTATCTTTCCGGCTTGGGCAGTTTCTCTTTATGTGACCCTCCTGGCCACAGTAATAGCAAGTGAAGCTGGAGTTACCTCGACCTTTTTTGTCTCTGGATTTACTCCTGTTGTTCCAGCTGCCTCTACTCTTGCTTTTTCCTCTACCTCTTCCTTTACCTCTATCTCTGCCTCTATCTTCTGTGACAAGAACATGGGACTGATTATGAGACTGATGTCTTTCCTTCTTGTTTCTTCATTGTACATGGCGTCTGTGACTATAC